CACAGCGTAGTGATTGTGTTCTGGTTTGAACTTCGTTTTGGCAGAAGAAGTGATGTGGGTTGGGCTTGTTGTCTCGGGCTGCACCCTTCTAAGCAACACAGTTGGCTAAGTCCTCTCGCATAAGCGGGAAGTGGTCTCCCTGGTTTCAAAACTAGTCACAGGATTACGTTTAGGTACTTTCCAGAGTACGTTGCGTAATGTTGCTTGTGGCAGCCAATGTGAGATTTGCATCTTTAGTGACAGCTGTTCTTGCTGTGAAACTGGGTGTAGTAGGAAGAGTACTAGTCTGTTGAATTCTTATGTACTTACTAGTGATTACTGGCAAACCTTCATTCAGTTCAGCACTTAAAAAAAAATAATTTTGCTTTTGGTTTTGGGGTGAAGACATTCTTTATAAATGTGGTCTCAATTAAGCTCCATGCATTGTTGTAAGTATTCAATATTGTTTATTTCTGTTTACCCTGTCGTCTTCAAAATAGAGAAATGAAATTTGGAAAGTCTAATGGAGATTACTTGATGTTTACTTTTTCCTGTCGCACTGGCTTCTAACAGTGGTTATGTGATAGCAGCCTTTGAAAAATTGAACCTCTTTTTTTTCGAAGATGAAATGTGAGCTTCCTCTATCTTCAGTTTTTACTCGACATATTGTTACCCAGGTAATAGTGCTGTTTCCTTGCCTGTCATTAAACTATTAATATTCTGTTGCATTTGGTTATTGGATAATCGTGATTGCTGAATAAGAATAAACTGCTTTTGTCTCGTGCAGATTGACAGGAACAATTTTTAAGAGACAATACAAGATATGCTAATATTAGAAATTATTAATAATTCAGGCTTGTTGAAACAAAAAGTAGATGCGTAATTTTATGAGCAAGTCGTCTCCCTCTGGAGAATGTCATCAACAAAGTGTGACACAGGAAGTGCATGCTATTACAGAATTACACCACCAGTTGATTTCCAGTAGTGTTCTTACAGTAACTGAGAAAATATTTGACCATCTTTCTGTGGTTGATCATATTTCTGTCTTAAGATAACAAGGTGTAGAGCTGGATGAACACAGCAGGCCAAGCAGCA